CTCCGGCGCCGCCCCAGGCGCGCTCCGCGCTAGGGAGGTGGGTCCAGCGCGGATCCGAGGAATCCGCGCGGACCTTCGAGATTGTTTTGCATAATTCTGCCTTTTGTAGGTCGGCTCGTGCGGTGTCCAAGTTTGCCTTGCGAACGTTTGATTCGCGATGTGGCTGTCTCACCCCGGGTGTGAATTTCCTCTGGCCTGCGGCCGGCGCAGGGAGAGGAGGGTACTTTCTCACCTTACGCACGCTCGTTCTCTCTCTCTCTCTCTCTCTCAGGCCACGGTTGTGGGCTGGCTTGTGGGTTGCACCCGTCTTGCCTGGGGTTTGTTTGAATGTGGCACGAAGCGCCGCGATTGGGTGTAGAGCAGTCTTTCTGTAGCATGCTTAAGACATGCGGCAGATGTTTTGCTGCTCAGGGAGTCGCCGTCTGCGGCCAAGCTTGCGTTCCGCATCTGCCAGGGCGCCTGCCAGGCGCCCGAGTCCCCTCGCCAGGTTGGCTCGGCATCTGTTCAGGCATCGTCTTCCTTCGTGTCGCGGACGTTCCTGCTATACTCGTGTGAACATATTCGTGTGGCTGAAAGCATCCAAAGAACACCTACCCGAATAGTCGCTGCAATGAGGCGACGTTGTCTTAGCTCTCGTAGAAGAGAGCTCGCACGATAATCGCCACCCTTGTCTCGACCTTTTGCGCAGAGAACACATCAGAGTTTTTATGTTCACGCCATGCCATTATTCGTTCCCCTACTGGCCCCCCGTCCCCCCTCCTTGGGGCTGGGCCAGAGAGCTCCGGTTCCCGACGAGGAGGCTTGCTTGCAACATGGCACGCACAAGTGTACAATAGTAGTTGGTCGGGCCTGTCCCCCTACAGGGGGACTTTGGGCGAAAAATTAAGAATACCCGACAAATACTCCAAACATGCTCAAATATAGTGAACAAATCGTCCCCATATTATTTGTTGGCAATGTTTGAATACCCCTCCTGTAGAGCGACAGGCCCGACTTAATAATAGTATATCATCACCCAACCCCCACCTTCCCTCCCCCCGCCCCCCCTCTGGGGAACGGGGGCATGCGGAAGCGGGGGTGGCCTTCTGCTCCCCCAATTCTTCGAGTAGGGGATCGACTGCAGATCTGATTTGTGCAACGATTTTTTGTTTCTGTCTAAGTCGAAGCTACAAGACAGATGCAAATATTGTTCCGCTCACCCACCAGCATGCGACATACCCTCTCGCAGAGTCGACGAGCAGACCAATTTTGGGGCATAGTGAACTCTGTAGTCGATCCCTTGCTCGAGTTCTGAGCCCACTCGGCGTTTGAGCCACCTCGTCCGCCGCGTGGGGGCCCCAGGATCGAGCCCCTTCGGCGGCCCAGCGGGGGCTCGGGTGCGCGATGCGGGCTCGGGAGAGGGCTCCCTGGGGTCAGCTTCTGCGGCTCCTGCTGGATCGGGGTCGGCAAAGAGGGGGGGTGATGACTAGGGGGGGTGGGGATGTCGTGGCGGGGGCCATGGTATCGCCCCAGATCTCATGGCGCCTCTTCCTATTTCAATGCGTCCCCGGCCCCCCCCCCCCCCTGGGCCGCGCACATGCTGCCGGCCATGGTTTGCGCCCCCCCTCTTGGACGCCCCCCTCTTGGCCGCCCCCGACAGGAGCCCAGCCCTCTTCGGCCAGTTGTTGGCCACTCTCCTGACGTCGGGGGGCCTCCTGCAGCCTTCCTTTCGCTCTTTCCCTCCCCTTCGACGACGGTGGCGACGACGTCGACGACGACGGCGACGGCGACGGCGCCGTCGCAGTCCGAGGACGCGCAGCAGCCCGAGGGCCCTGGGCCGACGGCCCCCGCGGGCCTCGGCTCGGGCTGCAGCGCGCGCAGCGCCGCCAGCGCGGGCGCCGCCAGCGCGGGCGCCGCCCCGAGCCGCTGCGGCAGCCGCGGCGCCCTGCAGCCGCTGCCCTGCGCGCCGCGAGGCCCGCCGTCGGCCGCTGCGCCGCAGCAGGCGGCAGAGGAGGAGAAGGCGCCGACACCTCAGAGGAGGACAGGACACCCATACCGCGGCTACCCTCCCTCGAGGAAAAACACAACGCCGTGAACCCAAACGTTCGGCGTTCCGCGCGGATTTCTTGGATCTGCCCTAGGCGCCCCTGGCGGCGTCTCCGGCGCCGCCCCTGGAGCTCTCCGCGCGCCAGGGACGGGGGCCCAGCGCAGGTCCAAGAAAGCCGCGCGGAGAGCCAGAAGTTTTTTTTTTGTTTTTCTTTTGTTTTTTTAGGTTGTTCAGAGGAGGACATGGTGGCCATACCGCTACCCTCCCCTCGTTTTCCCCCTTTTGGGTCTCCTCGTAGGCTCTCGCCGCCACCGCGGGATTTGCCTCGAGATTCTGGCCTGAACGCACCCCGGGAGATGTCTGGGGACAAGCTGTTTCGGTGCTTTTTGGCTTCCCCAATGCCCATCCGTCGTTGAAAGTGGATGTTTGTGGATTCCCAGATCCAAATCTTCTTTATGCGCCTTCCGACCTCAAGCAGCAAGCGCCTCTCCTTTGTCTTTCATCTTTAGGATGCGGGCGGAAACCCAATCTACTTCAATGCCTTCCTGCATGGTTCTAGCCACTTCTTCCGACCGATCGGTACGGCAGGCTCGCGCCGTGTCGACTGGCGGCGACCCCGCCGCCGGCGTTCAACGTTGAACGCCGCTGGCAACCCAGAATCGGTCGATGTTGAACGATCTGACGTTTCAGAACGGCCGATCATTCAAGGCTGAACCGATCCAAGATTGAACGATCTCCGCTGTGTCAGAAACCAACGCCGAAGTCGGCACGACACGAATCTGCCGTACTGGTGCTCGTCCTGGAGAGTCCTCGTCACCACGGCTGGGTTCTCATCGAAATTATGGTCGGAATTCGACGGAGAGATAAGGGCATACACATACACTTTCGAAGGTCCGCGCGGATTTCTCGGATCGGCGCCGTGCACCGCGCCTCCGGTGCTGCCTTTGGCGCGCTCCGCGCGCCAGGGAGGGGGGATCCAGCGCCGACCCAAGGGGTCCGCGCGGACCTCCGAAGGGTTGCGTTTACGCTGCTTTGTTTCCGCGAGACGAGGTCCCGAGAGCCCACCCCCGTTGTGACGGCTGGAGTTGCCGAGATCCTGGTCTGCGCGCGCCCCAGGATACGGATGCGACTCTTGGGAGGTCGAAGTCTGACTCTGCCCTGGTCAGAGATCCGGCTCCCTCCAGCTTCTATCCCGCTTGCGCCGCGGCGTAGCCTGGCGTCACAGCCTCCCTCCCTAATCCTCCGTAACCCTCCGACGCATGATGGGCGTGGGGGGCCTTCCTCCTCCTCCTCCTCCTCCTCCTCCTCCTCCTCCTCCTCCTCCTCCTCCTCCTTCTCCTTCCCCCCTCCAATTCGTGGTGGTGGTCGAAGACCGGCCCATCAGACGCAGACCTCCCAGAAGTTGCCTCCTTACCAGGAGAGGTCCAGGGAGTAGCGGTTTGGGCCCCCTGAGGCGGCGGGCCCGTGCGCACAGGCAGCGCCGCCACCTGCCGCACAGTCGGCCGCCTCGCTCGGCCAGGGCGGCGTCGGCGGTGGGGCCGGCTGTTCGGTCGGCTCCAGCGGCGGCAGCGTCAGCGTCATCAGCAGTGACGGCAGCTACGCGCCGACCATGGAGCTCGGAGGAGGAACGGGTACCGAGACACGCTGGTCGTTGGAAGGAGGTACAGTGGAAGCCCATGCCAAGAAACACCCTGCTTGCCTCCAGAGTGCCCTGGGTTTCCTGGGTTTCGATGGTTTTGCTATGGAAAGCGTGACGATCCCAGCAAGAACCAATGGACATCCTGGGGCCACAAGGTTAGGTTTCGTGTGGGAGGTTTCTCGTGGTCGAGCTCCCACTGTATTTCTGGATTGCCAGATCCCAGTCTGCTTCAGGCGCCTTCCTACTTCAAGAGTTGATCTGCTTCTGGCTGTGTGTTGTTGTTCTCTGGGAACGTCTGAGCCCATTGTCCTTCATGTTTTTTACCGACCTCTTTCGACCAGCGTGTACCGCTACAGCCGGACCGAAGTATAAGATCGGGGTCGGTTCGGGGAGAGGGCACCTCAGTGTTCTTCGTGCTTGTTGAATGCTCTGGTACGCCCTGGGGAGGGTACCCTTGGATGTTCTGCGTGCTCTGGCCGACGGCGGGCCTCATGTTCTTGAAGGAATGTTCTCCTGGCCCAGGTCCGACTGTGCCTGCGCCGCCAACCCTCCCCTCGTCATCGCATTCGGGGCCCTCGTCGCCATCGCTGGGTTCGCCTCGCCATTCTGGTCAGAGGGCACCCCAGGAGCGGTTCATCGCATTCGGGGTCCTCGTCGCCATCGCTGGGTTCGCCTCGCTATTCTGGTCAGACGGCACCCCAGGAACGGTTCCGGGAGTAGCAGTATCGGTTCCTTTAGGTCTCCCCAGGAGTTGATGCCGCCGACAGTGGCAGTAGCGACAGCTGCCACGCTGGTTCCCACGCTCACCACGCTGGTTCCCACCATGGTGCTTCCGCATTATGAGCCGGCTCAGCATCCGCCTCTGCAGACGCAGCTGGCGCAGCACCCTGCGCAGCAGCAGCTTCAACCCCAGCCAAGCTGTCAACGCGCTGAGGCGCAATGCGGACAAGGCGCGGCAAACAGAACCCAGTCTGCTGGCCCCTCGGCATCATCTGTGGCGATCGCGTCCCTGCTTCGAGAGAGCAGCACCGCACTGCCACTTGGCGCCTGTTCGCTCAGCCCGAGGGCGACTGCACCAGCGCTGCCTCCAGCGCAGCGGGCAGTGCCGGCGCAGGTGCCGACTGGGCGGGTGTCGCCTGCGGCGTCTCCCCGGGCATCGCCGAGGGCGTCCCCGGCCGCCCCGAGGCCGCCCGCCATGGCGGCTTCCCAGTCCTGGTCGCCGCCCTGCACCGCCGGCGCGCCGGGGGCGGCGCCGCCGCCGCTGCCCGCGGCGGCGCCGGCGGCGCCCGCGGCCGTGGGCGGCAGCGGCGGCAAGGCCCCGGCGGGCGGCGCGAGGGCGGGGGCCAAGCCGCCGGCCGCCGGGCAGCGCGTCGCCAGCGCGGGCCCCGGGCAGTCCTCGGAGGGCCCCCTCGCGCGGATCCGCCGCACGGACCTGCAGCGCATCGGCCGCCTGGGGGTCGGCGCGTTCGGGCTGGTGACCCTGGAGGCCGACCGCCGGACCGGGCGCACCTACGCCCTGAAGGCGGTGTCCAAGGGGTGCGCGGGGGCCCCCAAAGCTCACCCAGCGCTTTCCACTACTCGCAGAGTGCCTACGTACTCGCAAATGTCTGAAACAAGCACATATCTGCGTCGATGTAATGTATCGTAGATCCCCCGCGGCGGATCCAGGCCATTTGCGAGTAGTCACTTTGTGAGTAGTGGAACGCGCTCGTCTAAAAGCGGTGTGGTGACCACACCGCGCGGTGAGTCGGTGGGGCTTCGGGGTCACCGCGCGCTCTTGTGGGGCGGGGGCTCTTCTCCCGGGATGTCTCGGGCGTCTGGGGCCTCCTGGGTTCCGAGGTCGTGCGGCGACTGACCGTACTTTAAGTCGGGCCTGTCCTTCTGCAGGAGGAACATTCAAAAATAGTAAAAGCATAGTCCTGGGACGATGTTTCATTATCTTTATGGGTATAGTTGAATATCCTCTGACTGTTTTTGATCTGTCGTCCAAAATCCGCCTGTAGGGGGGACGTGCCCGACCCAAACCGTGCGGTGTGGTCTCTGGAGACTCCGAAGCCACCCGCGCGGCCTGACGCCACGCGGCCTCGAGACCCCCAGAGGTACCTCCAGCACCTGCGCATGCAGTACTCGGTGCTGAACGAGAAGCGGATCCTCAAGATGCTGGACACGCCGTTCGTGGTGCGGCTCCTGGCGGCCTACAACGGCAAGGAGTACGTGTACTTCCTCCTGGAGGCGGCCCTCGGGGGGGAGCTGTTCACCACGTACGAGCGGCTGTCCCTGTACGGGAGCGAGAGGCATGCGCGCTTCTATGCTGGGGCGCTCGCCACCCTGCCGACCACGAGGACGAGGGGTAGGGGGCCACATGCGAACCCTACCCCTACCCCCCACGATTTCGAGGGGTGGGGTTCACTCTGTTCGGGAGCTCCCGAGCGAAGTGGACCCCACCCTCCCCGTCAGAATATCGTGGGGGGTAGGGGTAGGGTTCGCATGTGGCCCCCTAGAGGGGGGCGGGTGAAGAGGGGGAAGGATGAGGCGGAGGAGGAGCAGGAGGAAGCCGATAATTAGGGTATGGGCCAGGATGGTCCTAACTCGGAGGCCCATCTTGTGCCGTCTTGGGGACATCTTGGTGCCATCTGGGGCTCTCTTGAGGCCATCTTGGCCGTCCTGGAAGCATATGGCCTCAGCTTTGGGGCCCCTGTTGAGCCATCCTGGCCGTTTTGAAGGCAGTTTGCCTCGATTGGGGTGCGGTGCTTTCTGGTGCGTAACTGGTGGTTGGTCTGAGTCCACTGGGAATTTTGTGAGTGCCAGAAGTACAACGGGCCACTGAAAAAAAACACTTTTCGTTGGGGAGTGGCTCAGTGTTTCTTAATTGTTTTGCAGCTTGTCTTACAGGTTTCCAGTGAGATTTGTCATGAGAAAGCGAAGTTCAATGTATGGAAAATGGCCTCGTTCTTTATTTGGGGCTCCTTATGACAGCGTTCCGACTGTATTAACACATCTCGCACGCCAAGCACCCCTTCGCAAACAGAAGGAGTTCGGGAGCGGGGGATTTGGTGGGGCCTTCGGCCCATCTCGCGACCGCGCCTGGGATCGTGGATTCGAGGCCTCCTCGAGGACGCTTGAGGTTTCTCGGTGGATTTCCGTGGGCCTCATGGAGGACTGTTTGGGGCTTTTTGGTGGCGTCATTGATGTGTCTCCAGGACATTCTTAGAGATCTTAAGGCTTCTTGAAACGTCTCGGAGAGTTCGGGGGCTCTCTTGGATTTTCTTGGGCTCTCTTGGCGCCGTCTTGGGAGCCATAGGATTTTGACAAGTTCGGCTATCCGAAATCTGTCTTGAAGAGTCTTGGAGCCTCGCTTGGAGGCTCTTGCGGGTCGCTGGGCGTCCTCTGGGGCCTTTTGGAGCTTCTTTTGGAGCTTCTTTGAGGCCTTATGCACTTCTTGGGAGGCTCTTGGGCGTTATTCGGGGTCGTTTTGGATGGGCGCGGCTTCTTGAAGCTCGAGGAGGGCCAATGCGGAGTCGTCATCGATAGTGGCCCGTCTTGGGCGGTCTGTGGACACATCTGGAGCCACGTTGAGGTTCTGCCGAGCAACCTGGGGAGGCCATGAGAGGCTGGGCAGGGTCTTGGTGAGGTCCTCTCCCTCTGTCGTGAAGATCGGGAGGGGGGCAGCCAGTCATCTCATACGCATCACACCCGCAAAAGGTGGGGTCAGCGGATATGGGGTGCGTGACGGAGGCGCTTACTCACCTCCACGAGCACAACGTCATATATCGTGACCTGAAGCCCGAAAATCTCCTCCTGGATACGCGCGGCTATTGCAAGGTGACCGACATGGGGCTGGCCAAGGTCACGAAAGGGAAGACGTACACGCTGGTGGGCACTCCTGACTACATGGCCCCGGAGGTCATCAACCAGACCGGGCACACGAAGGCTCTCTCTGAGGACGAAAGGAGAGTCTCCCCAGCCGCGCCCTCTCCGGGAGAGCGGGGGCTCCTGTGAGCGGTTCCCCAAACAGTGCCTGCGGTCGGGCGGTTGAGTTTTCTTTGGAGTATTCCTGCCCTGGTCCGCAGGAGCTTGTGGTGCTCCCAGCGAGGCCGCGATGCCCCGAGCCTTGCGGGCGTCTCCTCGCCTTCCCTTCCGGGAGTGGCCGTGGTCGGCGGGAATGCCGCACGCGCCCTGCGCTGCCCAGGCGCCCCCCTTGCGTTGCGGAGTGCTCCAGATAGCCGAGTCTCGCCAGGCCTGGAAATCAGGGTCACCCCAGACGAGGTCCCACGCGCGTGACAGAGCCCTAGCCGATAGGGTCACGTCCCTGGTTCCTCCCAGGTCCCACCAGTCAGGGTCCAACCCCACAGTGCCCCACAGCAAGGACTGCACCACGTAGGTGTGCAACCCGGAGATCGCACCCCATTTTGGGACCCGCGCCGGCATCATGCAGTTGAGGGGGAGGGGAGAACGCAGGCCAGCGCTCGCTATCGCGAGGGGGGCTGGTGGACGGAGGGAAGAGATAGAGATGAGATGAGGGACGCAGCAAGAGATAGAGATGAGGGACGAGCAAGAGATAGAGATGAGAGATGCAGGGGAGGTGGAGGGACGGAGGGGGGAGAAGTGGAGGCAGGGAAGATCCGCTGACCGACGCGTTTTCGCCCTCCGCCCTCCTGCTCCCCCCCCCGCCTCTCCTCCGCGCGCCTGGCTGCACTGGCAACCTCCGAACGCCTCCGCCTCAGCAGGCCTCCGAAAGTCTCGGGGCCACTGTGGGAAAGACGAGACGTGGACGCCACACCACGCGTGATAGACCTACCCTGACACGTCGATTCAGCAATTGGCCGTTTTCGGTTCGCGAGAGGGCGCCGCGGCCGTCCTTTCTGCGGGTCCAGGTCCGTCGGTTTCGGTCCCAGGCCGTTTTCACCGAGGGGTGGGTTACTAAGGGAGGGTGGTCCACCCGCCGCTTCTCCCTCCCCCCCACCTCCCTCTCCTGCAGTCCAGCCGACGGACCGCACAGGACCACTTCGGGCTCAGGAGCGGCTCCGACTTTTTCGGGCCGCCCCTTCCTCCCCTCCTTCTCCTCCTCCTCCTCCCCCTCCTCCTCCTCCTCCTCCTCCTCCTCCTCCTCCTCCTCCTCCTCTTCCCCTCCTCCTCCTCCTCCTCCTCCTCCTCCTCCTCCTCCTCCTCCTCTTGGGCCTCCTCGGCCGTCGGGGAGAGCCTCTGCGCGGCCGAGGGCTCGCGCGCGGCCAGCACGGCGCCTTTTTTTTGTTCCCTCTGCGGTTTTTTGGGCTGCCGGCTGCGCCGCATGGCTCGAGCATCGATATCGTTTTTGTCCGATCCCCATCCCCATCTCCATCCCCGTCGAGACCCCCACAATTACCACCCCAGTTGGGGATACACCCCTCGAAGCCCGAAGAGAACGACCCATATCCCAATTTGAGGGGGTAACTCGGGCAGCGGGGCCCAGGCCACGCCGCTGGGGATGGGGATGGGTTTAACGATACTCAGAGTAGCGGATCGACTACAGAATTGGTTTACGTCGGATGCAATTCCTGGGATGTCAAGTTCTGACTTTGCCTTAGTCCGACATCTGGCTTACTCGTACTCGTGCTGAATTCCGATGGATCCCGATTAATCCTGCTGAATCCCTGCTAATCTGGCTCAATCCCGTCGAACCCGCGGCCTCATCCGGCGTAGCGGCCCCCCAAATGGGCATTAATTCTCCTTAATCCTTCCGGCGAAGACCTCCCAGTAGTCGTTTCCTAACGTTTACCCCGGAATGGATTTTCTCGTCGAGTGTGCGAACAGTGCGTAGAATCCCACACATCCTTCGTAACTTCTTTGCGAACATCAATTTTGGGGTAAACCAATTCATTCCGCAGTCGACCCCCTCCTCAAAACGGTGCCCCTCGGCGGTCCGCGCAGGCCGTCGACTGGTGGATGCTCGGCGTGCTCCTCTACGAGCTGCTCTCGGGCCGGGCGCCGTTCGAGGCGGAGACCACCCCCCAGGTCTACGAGCTCGTGAAGTGCGGCGGGGAGGGCGCCGGGGGGGGGGGGGGGGGGGCATCGCGGGCGAAGTCTCGCTCCCGGGCTCCTCGGGAGCCGGGCGGGGTGCCCATGCCGCTGCCCGTCCTGGGGGGCCCTCGTCGTCACGCCTGGACTCTTCCCGAAGTCCTGGTCGGGGGGCACCCTCGGAGAAGTCTGGGGGTCGGCGGTATTGGTACCTCTTTTGCCCCCCAGAGGAGGGAGGAACAGCCGAGCCCTGGCCAGGCCACCACGCAGCGGCATCCATACGCTTCGGCGACAACATGCCTTGACCTCGCAATTGGAGGAAGATCATCGAGATGGGGGGGCGGCGCGACCCATGGGAGAGCCGCGTGGAGGACAATAGGTAGGGGGATACGGGTAGCGCACGGCTCACCTGGCGCGCACCCGGAAGCTGACGAGTCGGCCATCCCTGAGTATCCCTTCGAAATAGCAGGCCGTTCAGCAACGAAGGAGCAATCGGGGATACCACAGCGACAGGGGGCCATCGAGACGCACCCCTTAATCGAGGACGGAAGCCCTCATCGTACATCCAAGATCGTGCCCAAGCTGTTCGTCCAGTCGAACGTTCTGCACAGCTAGGGATTTGGGTCGCCATACTCCTTGTCAGCGAGGGGCAATAGGGAGGAATGAGTTTCCTATATGCAACAGCGGCGGAGCTGGTTGCCGGTGTGGATCCCACACGTTTTGTTCTTGCATTCTCGTTGTGTTCCCTCATGTGGTGCAGTCTATGGAATGCAGCCTGTGTGATGCAGAATGGGTGTTCTGATCTGATGGGCGCAATCAATCTATGATGTGCCAAATAAGTGGTTCAAGCGATGTGGTACAACATGTGGAGTTCAGCATAGTCTGCGCAACATCTGGAGTGCAGTCGATGTGGTGCAGTGTAAGTGGTGTGATGGTGTAATCAGTTTGGTGGAAAGTGTGCACGCAGTTGCAAGCATGTGGCGCGAACGATTTCAGGCACAATATGGGTTGCAAGCTTTGTTGTGCAGAACATCTGGTGCACATTTTTTCATGTGTTTTTTTACTGCCGTTTGGCCCATCCCGCCTCCGTGCTGGGGCTGTGGGCATCTTGGAAGTTGGGGTCTCTTGAGATGCCTCACCGGGGGCTCCTGGCGGCCTCTTGACGGGGGGCTGTTTTGGACTTTCTGGGGCGTCTTGGGGGCACCTCTTCGGGGCGTCTTGGAGAACCTTGCAGGAAATCTATGGTTTTGGCCTCTTGGAGCTGGGGCCCCATGTCCAGCCTTCTGGTGGGGCCTTCTCGGACGTCTCGGGGACCGTCTTGAGGCCGTCTTTTGCCATCTTGGGCCATCTTGACGCCCTCTTGGGCCGTCTTGGGGCCCTCTTGTGGCGTCCTGGGGCCACCTTGAGACCATCTTAGCCATCTCATGGTCTTTGCCTTTCTGGGAACAGTGACGCGAAAAGCACGAGAGGCCGCGCAGGGCGCCCCGGGGACCGTTCCAGAGGCGGCCCGAGGCAGTGGGGCAATTGGGGGTCAGGGCCCTTAAAGAGAACTCAAGAAGTGGCCGGAAGTCACTCCGCTCATTGTCTGGCGACAAGGTGGCGGACGTGTGATGCAAGCGATGCTGTGTAATGTTTGTAAATGTGCATAGTTCTGTAATGCTAGGAACACATATTTGTATGTGGGTATGCTGATATAGAGGTATATGTACGTGTATGCGTGTACATGTATATGCAAGTGTATATATATTTATGTATAAGGTATGGGCATGTTGATGTATATGTGTGTACATATACATATGCACATGCATATGCACATTTACAGCTATGCGTACATGTATATGCATGTGTGCATGCACATGTGTATGATGTTGTATATGTATTTTTATATGTGTAGTTTGGTGAACTTATTTATGAGTATACTTATGTGTTTGTTTACCTATTTGTACACGTACGTGCAACTACCAGGTGCTCGTATGTGTATGTAGGCGTGCATGTATATATATATATATATATATATGTAGGTGAGTGTATGAGTATATTTGTGTACATATCATTATGCATAAGTGTATGGCTATGTTTTTTGTTATATATATGTACATATGCATATGCATAGGCATATACATATATGTACATATATTTATATATATATACACACACGTATATATACGCGTTTGTATACGTATATGTATAGGTGTGTGCGTATGTGCAAGAGATCTGCTGTAATACCTCTCGTGCAGTATTGAGGGTGCAAGCTGTGTTATGCAATATGAGCATGCTCCATCGCGCGTGGCGCCCACTCAGGATCCCGCCGGGCGAACACCCGGAATTGCCAGTTAGCGCACGGGATGCTCACGAGACGTTTACGGGCGCAAGTCAGAATTTCTTAGTGCAAGCAGAGTTTGGAGAATGACATGGCGAACGTCCGCCCGGATTGCCATGGCCGGCACAGGATCCCCATCCTCACGCCCATTCGCGCCCCCACCCCAGCGTGCGGAGCGCGCCGAGGGGAGAAAAGGTGAGGGATGGTAACTAGGGTACGGGATGGACGGAAGTGATGTCGGGAGTGGAGCGAATGGGGAGGGAGAAGGGGTTTTAATGAGATAGAGGGGGGGGGGAGGAAGGCAAAGAGAAAGAGAGAGAGAGAGAGAGAGAGAGAGAGTGCGAGAGGATGGTGATGATGAAGGAGGAAGGCGGGCAGCTTGACGAGGAGGGGAGGGGATACGAGGATGGAATGTG